ACGTACTGTAACCCCAGATTCTATGAATATAGGCGTAGCCCTTTAAGCGTCGGGCCTCACTGGCTCCTAAATGGCTGAAGAAAAAGCTATTTTGGGAGCCGATTTCCCGCTCTTAACGTAATTTATACGGACCGGGTGGGGCCCACACAGCAGGTGGGCGTGGACTAATTTTTTCAGTGCTTATGCTCTGCATAACAGGATAAACCCACTAAAGCGAAGGCCTTAAAGGGCTACGCTTATACTCATAGAATCTGGGGTTACAGTACGTAACCAACATTCTTCATGGGGGGGGGGGGGTAGATTTATGTTTTAAAATAACTTTTTCATTCAAAGGGATATTTGAAAGATTTTAGCTCATTTCAGTTTTGATGTTTATAGTGACAGCGTGAGGCACAAACAGAACCCTTTATTAGTCTTTCTGAGGCTTGGAGACATGATCTCCCTTCACGTTAAGACAAAGACAGAAAACGTGCTAACTCTACATCTGTTCATCCGTCTCTTTTTTCTTCGTCTGTCCCTTGTTTCATTTTCTTTATTTTTGTGCTAAAACTTCAACTCTTCAGATACTTTCAGATTGAATCTTATCAGTAGTTGAACTTTGATTTAAAGGGTTGAATTTTAGTTTAATTTCTCTAAAGGATTTCTATTCTTTTCCATTTGATTCTATGATTCGACTGAATTTTGACTTCAGCATATTTAAGCAGTGATTTATTTTTGCAGAAATGTAAATACTTTCTGTTTGAACTTTCAAAGCTCTTTTTGAATGTTTCGAACTGGTCCTGGGGTCAGCAGGGTCATTGTGATGCTCCGGAGGTGTTGGACTCAGGAAGCTTCTGTTCAGAACCAGCAGTAAAACCCTGAACTCAGGTTCTGTTTGTGTCTTCAGCTACACGCAGACTGGCGCCACATCTCTGAAGCTCGTCATGAAGCACTTCTGGACTCTGATCTCAGAAACTCTGAGGGCCTCGCCAGCTGTTGGAGTGGACATCACACGGGAGGAGAGGTGAGTCTGTACAGCACCAATCAGAACCATGAGAACTTTCTTTACATCCTGCAGAACCTTCTGCTTTTATTTGTTCCACCCCGTCAGAAAACGTTCTGAGATTATTTCAAACCTTTAATCTTCAGTTTGAACCTGATGTAAACTGACTGTTTCTGTCGGAGTTCTGCAGCTTGTTTGTTCTGCTCATGATGCCATTGTTTGCTCCTGCAGACATCTTAAGTGTCGCGAGTGCTGCAACCACCTGAAGAACCTGAGCAACATTGTGGAGAACAGGGCAGGGCAGGTTGGTCGCCACGGCAGCACCTTCAAAGAGCTGCAGCTGCTCATGACGCCACTTCACGAGACGCTCTGAGAAACACCAGGCCAACTGACCCGATCGTTCAGAGTGTGAAGCCCGGAGGTAGGTGGTCCAAGTTCAGCTCAGAGAACAAACACTGCTGAAACACAAATCTACCACAACACAGAACCAAGATCAACTCCGGGTCCAACTTATCAGTTCTATTCACTGAGACAGAACTGATCCAGTTTGGGTCATTTTGATAAATGTGATGGACTGATGAACTGAAGCACCTGGTGATGGACTGATGAACTGAAGCACCTGGTGATGAACTGAAACACCTGGCGATGGACTGATGAACTGAAACACCTGGTGATGGACTGAACTGGGTCTCAGGTTGGACAGAGGCTTGAGTTAAAAAACTGATGTTGAAGGCAAGAAACTGTTCAGAAACTTAAAATAAAAACTGTGAAAATAAAAACAATTGTCTTATGTTCAGAACCATAGAAGCTCCCGCAGAACTTTGGGTTCTAACTGGAAGCTGCTTCAGTCTGGGTGGTAACAACCAAAGGTGAAAGGTGGCATTTTCACTCCATTGCAATTTAATTCATTTCAATTACCGTGATTTAATTTCTATAGCACCAAGTCTCAACAGAAGTTGTCTCAGGTCACTGTACAGAAACATTCACTACATTATAAAAGATAATTAGTAGAATCCAACATTTTTCAGTAAGGTCATCTGGACAGTTTCTTTTTCTTTTTGTGCTGAAACGTTTTGCCTTCGATCCAGAAGGCTTCATCAGTCAAGGAAGCACACAGCAAAACTGATTCTTCCCCCAGCCGCTGTTTTGTGTGTATATATATATATATATATATATATATATATATATATATATATATATTATACACAATCCGCATTCCAAAAAAGTTGGGACACTAAACAAATTGTGAATAAAAACTGAATGCAATGATGTGGAGGTGCCAACATCTAATATTTTATTCAGAATAGAACACAAATCACAGATCAAAAGTTTAAACTGAGAGAATGTATCATTTTAAGGTAAAAATCTGTTGTTTCCAAACTTCATGGTGTCCACAAATCCCAAAAAAGTTGGGACAAGTCCATTTTTACCACTGTGTGGCATCCCCCCTTCTTCTTACAACACTCAACAGACGTCTGGGGACAGAGGAGACCAGTTTCTCAAGTTTAGAAATAGGAATGCTCTCCCATTCATGTCTAATACAGGCCTCTAACCGTTCAATCGTCTTGGGCCTTCTTTGTCGCACCTTCCTCTTTATGATGGGCCAAATGTTCTCTATAGGTGAAAGATCTGGACTGCAGGCTGGCCTTTTCAGTACCCGGATCCTTCTCCTATGTAGCCATGATGTTGTGATTGCTGCAGAATGTGGTCTGGCATTATCGTGTTGAAAAATGCAGGGTCTTCCCTGAAAGAGATGATGCCTAGATGGGAGCATATGTTGTTCTAGATCCTGAACATAGTTCTCTGCGTTAATGGTGCCTTTCCAGACATGCAAGCTGCCCATGCCACAAGCGCTCATGCAACCCCATACCATCAGTGATGCAGGCTTCTGAACGGAGCGTTGATAACAACTTGGGCTGTCCTTGTCCTCTCTGGTCCGGATGACATGACGTCCCAGTGTTCCATAAAGAACTTCAAATTGTGACTCATCTGACCACAGAACAGTCTTCCATTTTGCCACACTTCATTTTAAATGACCCCTGGCCCAGTGCAAACGTCTGAGCTTGTGGAGCTTGCTTAGAAATGGCTTCCTCTTTGCACTGTAGAGTTTCAGCTGGCAACAGCGGATGGCACGGTGGATTGTGTTCACTGACACTGACACTGACAACGCTTTCAGGAAGAATTCCTGAGCCCATTCTGTTATTTCCTTGACAGTGGCTTTCCTATTTTAGGTGCAATGATGTTTAAGGGCACGGAGATCACAAGCATCCAGTACAGTTTTACAGCCTTGACCCTTACGCACAGCGATTGTTCCAGATTCTCTGAATCTTTTGATGATGTTATGCACGGTTGATGATGATAACTTAAGACTTTGCTATTTTATGCTGGGTAACACCATTCTGGTATTGCTGCACTATCTTTCTGTGCAACAATGGTGGAATTGGTGATCCTCTAACCATCTTGGCTTCTGAGAGACACTGACACTCTGAGAAGCTCTTTTTATACCCAATCATGTTGTCAATTGACCTAATTACTGTTAATTGGTCTTCCAGCTGTTCGTTATGCTCATTTTCCTTTTTCCTGCCACTTATTGCTACTTGTCCCAACTTTTTTGGGATTTGTTGACACTGTGAAATTTTGAATCAACATATTTTTCCTTTAAAATGTTACATTTACTCCGATTAAACTTTGATCTGTCATCTATGTTATATTACAAATAAAATATTGACATTTGCCATCTCCACATCATTGCATTCAGTTTTTATTCACAATTTGTTTAGTGACCCAACTTTTTTGGAAT